GCCCCGTTCTTGGGCCCCTCTTATGACACCCACGTGTCACCTCCCTGTGCCACCGTGTCCTGCCACGGCTATGAGCCACCCGCGTCACCCTGTCCCTGTGGCCGGTGGGTGCCAGGACAGGACCAGGGTCAGCCCGGGGACAGCAGCACCACGTTCCCGTGCCGGGCTGATGGCAAGGGACAGCCAGCTCCGGGAGAAGCCATTCTGAGTCCATAGGAGTTGCAGCTTTGGCTCTGGGCTTAAATTCAGCACTTTCGGGTTCCTCACCCCAATGCGGGCCGTTGTGTCCTGTTGTGCTGGGAGCCGGGTGCGAAGTGACACCAGGACTGGACCCGGAGCCTCCGAGTGCTGGGAGCTGGGGAAGGGAATCCCTCCAGTGGGAGCATCCTGGGCAGGCAGGTCCCCCTCGAATGACACCCCCAGCACCGCGGTGATGCCAGCTGGGATCTTCCCAAGCACCTGGAGCGGATGGTGAGGAGCTGGTGAGCCCATGGATGGGACAGGGATATGCTGGGACCCTCAGCACCACAGGTAGGGCTCCCACAGGGCAGCAGTGGGGTGCAGGGGTTCAAAGCCCAGCATGGTGGGGTCAGACTGGTGTGGCCTGTGCCACTGCCATGGTACTGCCAGGGTCCCTGTGGCAACAGGTGCCCAATTATGGGGAGGGGGGACACAGGACAGGGGCAGTGTGTCCCCACATCACAGCCCTCCCTGTGCCCTCATCAGGGACCCCTCACATTTGGCGTGCCTGTGGCTGTCCAAGGTGGGAATCAAACTACCTCCATCCCCAGCACAGCCATTGCTTTGCTTCCAGCAGCAGGACAGCTGGATACATCCTTGCTCTCAGAGGCAAGACAGCCAGACAGCTTGTTCCCAGAGGCAGGACATGTCCTTATTGCCAGAGGCAGGATGGCCAGACAGTGTCCAGCCAATGGCATCAAAAGAGACTTTTCATTCCAAATTCATCCTCCACCGCTTGTGGCAGCCCCTGGACAGGCACAGCTGGTACAGCAGCACCCTGGTACATGCCTGTGGTCCAACACAGCACCAGGAGCGAGAAGGAGCGCTTGGCCACCGCTGCTCTCTCCACTGAGGACAATGTGCTCCTGCTGCCACTCAGGACATCGCATGGCACAGCACAGGGGTGGTGACACAGCTCAGGGCCCCCAGCCTGGTAGGGAAGGGGTGTGCCAGACCCTCCCCAGTATCTGGTATGGCACAGGGCAGCTGGGAAATGGGCACCTGGGGTTGTACATGGAGGGGCTGGGTGCTGCATGGTGCCAGGGGAGTGAGAGGGGTAAGGGCTAGGCTCCTGAGGACTCTGCTCCCCCACCACCGTAGGTGTGCAGCAACTCCCAGCGCAGGAATGAGGCCTGTGGTGCTGCAGCACCCATGGGGGCTGTCCTGACTGGAGGTGGGAGTGACCCCAATGTTGGGGTGTCCCAAAGCACATGGTGGTGAGCGTTGGTCCCAGATAAGTGCCTACAGCCACAGGGTCCCACAGCCCCTCCTTGGCATGGAGAGGGCTCCTGGTGCCACAGCGGAGGGACCCATCCTCAGACTCTGCGGTGAAGGAGACCTCAGACCCCCCAGCATCCCTGTGGGGGGGCCACGGACACTCACTCAAGGGGTGCAGACAGCAGAGTCCCTCACCCTCCCAACTCCCCTCAGGGGCAGCTGTGGCTGGTTGGCCACAGGGAGCCTGAGGCACTGGCCCCACTGGCTGCTATGCCAGCCCAGGGACTGATGCTGGCCCTGGGGGTGATGCCCATCCTTCCACTGGACCCAGGACATGGCCACAATAGCACCCAGAAGCTTCACATGACCCCCACAGACGCCACAGACACAGGGCTGAGTGTGTCTCTGTTTAATCCCACACCTCGTCCCAGCGAGGTTCCCCACCCCATCCGGCACCTGCCGGCAGCATCCCGGGGGCACAGCGAGTCCTTCCGTTCTGGGAGCCATTGGCCCTGATGTCAGAGCAGAACAGTTCATTTCCACAGGCTCAGCCCTGCTACGGCAGCACAACAATCTTCTTCTCCAGCGTCTGTGGGGGGAACAGGACCCTCCTCATGACGGTGTCCAGCTCCTCCAGTGCCAGCTGTGCGTGCAGCACTGTGGCGCCGTCGCGCTCGGCCGTCACCACGTGCTTCAGCAGGCGGTACAGGTCCAGCAGCACGTCCCGCAGCACCTGGATATGGCGGGCATGGAAAGTGTCAGCACCCACTGGTGCCTCGCCCGCCCTTGCCCCCTCAGCGTGTCCCAGCAGGTGTGGGGCTGCCCCTTCCCCCAGCACTGCTGGTGCCAGGACACTGCAGCACCACCACTGCCGACCACAGCTCTGGGCTCCTGTGACTCAGTTTCCCCACACACCAGCAGCACGTTGTGGTGAACCTCCAGCCCAGAGGCACAGGGGGATGCTGAGATCCTGGCTGTGGGGATTCCCATGGGGAACCAACTGTTTCCTCCATGGGAGCTGAGTCCCAACATGCTTGTTACTGGGAACTGGGGAGGGAGGCCACAGTGGAGGAAACACTGGGCATTTCCAAGTCAAATCAGTGATGAATAACGCCCACGGCTCCTGAGAGCTGGCACTACCCACAGCATGACACGGCCCCACAGCACATCCCAGCAGCATACAGGAATGCCCCCACAAAGTCCCCACTTTCCCAGGATCTGCTGAGTGGGCCCTTTGGTGGGGGAGGCCAAAGTTGGGGGTCTCAGTCCCTTGAGACTTTCCCTGAAGTTGCTTGGGAATGAGCCCTGCAGCCCCAGTGGGGCAGGGATGCCCACGAGCCTGTTGAGGACTGTCCCTGCCGTGGGGACAAACGGGGGGGTGACCCACCTCGGTGACCTTCTCGCTCAGCCCCCGCAGCAGCAGAACCACCACGTGCACGGCAGCTCTTCGCACCTCGGCCTCAGGGTCCGTCTGGGCTATGGCCGTCACACAGCAGGTGACCTGTGGGCACAGGGCAGGGGGGCATCAGCAAGGGCTGCGGGATGTGGGGGATCCCGGCTGAGCAGCTGCTGCCATGCTGGGGACATTCCAAGGATGAGGATGGGACCTCAGTGCCTGGCCTGGTACCCAGCTGGGGGGTCCTGCTTCCTGCAGGGCATGGGCTCTGAGCAGCCCTTCCTCCTGCTGGGGCCAGGCAGCACATGGATGCCTCGGGAAGCTGTATAACAATCTGTATAAAAATCAGGCAGAGCCAAAGGAATCTAATTAAACCCCAGCAGTGACAGCCAGGAGAATTAGCAGAGCTTGCACCCTCCCAAAATAGCAGCGCGTGGCGTGTTGGCATCACATCAACTACCGGGACCCACTGGTGCCGAGTGGCAACCAGGGGAGAAGCCTGAGTGCCAAATCCATGTGGGCTCCAGTTCCAGGAGCACCAGGGGGGCAAAGGTCTGGCTCCCAGGGGGCACAGACCCACCAGCTTGAGGGCTGCTGGACTGCCGACAGCTGGGCTCATCCCACCAGGATCACAGCGCCAGCGGCTCCAGGCAGCCGTGTCTCTCTCAGAGCCTGCAGCCAGGGCAAGGGATGGCTCAGCCACACTGATAACGATAATTATGATAATTATGATAACGGGAGGGTAACTAAGTGTCATTAAGCAGGAGGTGTCTCTGGCAGGCACCACCTGTGCCCCTAGGTCTCCTCTGGCAGCAGCTGCCATGGGTGGAGCAGACACCTAAAAATCAGGGCTAGAACCTCCTGAGTGTTTGCTTCAGGCCCAGTGGCTTTTATACTCCACGGTATAAGCAATTATCATTCTTATCGCTCATGTCCTTTGTGGAAATGTTCCATTTCCATATGGAAATGTCCCATTTCCACGTCCACAGCAGCCCAACCACACACTAACGAACCCACTTGTAAACAAGCGATGGCCCCACGCTCCCCAGACAGGGACCCGGGGAAGGATGGAGCTGGTACCTCCTGGACAATAGATCCCAGCTGAAAGCCAAGGCGCTGGCAGAGCTCGCCCAGGTTGGAGAGGCTGCTGGCCCGCAGTGCTCCGTCAGGGTCCCGGGCACCCCGCAGGAAGGCCCGGATCAGCGGCTCCCGGTGCTGGAAGACCATGTCCCCTGCAGGACAGAGCAGAGCGGTGTGTCACCAGCATGGAAAAGCCCACAGTCCCTCCCTGCTGAAGCTTTGGCTCCTTTGGGAGCAGATGGACTGGGCATCCCCCTTGCAGCAGTGCAGAACAGCTGGATGCAGCAACTCAAGGGTGGCTTCTGCCCCTTGGCACATGCCCTATGGGGGCCCTCCAGCATATCCCAGTTCCTCCATTCAAGGTCTCACAGACACACCAAGCGTGAATCCCAAATTCCCACATCTTTCAGACCCAAATCCCCACCCCAATTAGCACAGGGAGGCGCTGAGGACATGTGAGCTTCTAACGAGAGGTCAGGGCCCATGTCCAGCATCCACAAACACCCCGGGAGCGTGGTCATCCCATGGGAGGTGGGCAGCCGTGTGCCCCATGGTGTGGGCATGGATTCCTGGAGGAAGAGGCTCAAGGGGCCAGAAAGGAAGCTCCAGCAGGCTAGCTGGCCCATGAGCTCAGTGGTTTTCCAGTTCTCCCAGGCTCTGGAAGCTCCTTGGATCCTGGTGTTGTGCAGCCGATGGAGGCCAGTGGGATGGATGCCTTCGGATGCCCTCGGATGCAAGGACAGGAATAGTTCCTGCAGGCAGTGGAGGGTCCCCATCCCACTGCATGTGGGAGCTCAGGGCTGGGGACTGGCACAGGGTGGTGGAGCTTGGGGCAGTGCTGTGATGCCAAGGATGGCCAGGCTTGCTGCAAATGCATCCTGCTCTTGACTGCATCCCAGGGGTTGGAATTATGGCAGTCTGAGTAGTGCTGGGTGATCTGAGTGGGATGTATTCCCTTGGAAGCCAACAGCAGACCAGCCCTGTGCCAGATGGCCACAGAAGGAGCACAGAGCATTTCCCTTCCTGCTGCAAAATCCCATTCTGGATGGGAAAAGCTGCTCCAGTGGGATGGCAGGCAGGGATGAGGACAGGGATGGGGTGGGAGAGAAGCAGAGCAAGAGATCTTGGCAGAGCAGGACATCTTGAAACTGCACAAAGCAAAGCGATCCTGAAAGTGCTGGATAAATCCTCGCTCTCGGATCCTGAAGCCTTGCAACAGAAACAACTTGGTGCAATTTGTTCTATAAATACGCCGGCGAGCTGGGACGCGCCGGAGCTGCTGCCTGCGGCAGCGGCACCGTGGGGAGCAGGGAGAGCACAGGGAGGCTGTGCCACCGTCCCCAGGGCAGCTGCCAGGGGATGTCCAGCGCCGGAGCGGACACATGGACATTGCCCGGGGTCTTTAGGGACTGAGGGGCTCTGCTGCTGATCACTGGAGCCCCCCAGGAGATAGTGGGATGCCCTGTCCCCATCCCAGTAGGGGGGCTGGACAGTGGCACAGTCTGGCACCAGTGGGATGGCACAGCTGGCAAAGCCCAGGGATGCCACCATGGCTAGGGGATGTAGCAGAGGTCGCAGGGGAGTCACGGCCCCAGGGCCTGGGGGGTCCAGGCTCTGCAGGAGCAATCCTGAACAAGTACACAGTGCCTGGCTGGTGACCAGGGACCCCCATCTGGCTGTCCCAGCAGTGGGACACCGGCTGCCACCCCCCTGGAGAGGGAGAACTCCGGCTGCAAGCTCCCGCTGGTCTGGCCTCCTCTCCAGGGAGTCAGATGAGGCATTTTAGGACGTGTCCCAACAGCAGCTGATGGAAAGGCCTCATGCAGCTTCTACCCCTCAGCCCTGCGTGTCCAGGCGCTTCCCAGCAGCCTCTGAGCCCGGTGCTGCTGGCTGAAGGGACAGTGGGCTGCTGGTAGGATCCGCTGTCCTGCTCCTGCCATCAGCAAACCCCAGCCAGCCACTCTTCAGCTTCCAGACCCTTCTCTATTTCCCACAAAAAAAATCCCCCATGGGCTTTCCTCTGGGATTTGGCAAGGCCGAGAGGTGCTGTAGCTGATGGCAGGGGGCACTGCCACGCCCATGGCCATGGACTCACCCAGCGCCCGGGTGACGCGCATCAGCACCTCGCCCAGCTTCATCCTGGTGACAGTGGCCACAGTGTCCTCGGTGCCCTGCACTGGGCATTCATAACGTGCCAGCAGGATGGGCAGGATCCGCTCTGGGTACTCACTGGAGAGCAGGGCAACACCTGGGGGGGACAAAAAAGCTGGAAAATCAGTAATTTGGCAGTTGGCAGCAGGTGCCCGCTCAGTGCTGCTGGTTGATGCCCATTGACTTGGTGTGGACTCGGTACACTGGGGGCAGCTGGGCACCACAGGAGATGCTCAGGCACAGGGTCTGGTCACTGCTCCCAGCTCCCAGCCACTGGCACATGGTGCCAGTGTGTCCTTGTCCCTGCTGAATTCACCTGGCCCAGACTGGGACCTGAGCCCGAGTGCACCCAATGCCTGCTGCGTCTCCCCAGGGATGACAAGGGATGATCAGATCCCGGACACAGGACACAGGCTAGGCAATGCCATGGGGCTGCACCAGCTTCGCTGTCCCTGTGGAGATGTGGGCTGGGAGAAGTGCCAGGCAGGGCTCTGGCAGCACTGGGCAACTCTCTGATGGGGAAAGGTGGCTGCTCTCCAGGGAAGGAGCGAGCAGCAGAGGCTGCCCTGGCAGTGCCAAGCACTGAGTCATGGTAAGCCCCAGCTCCTGGCCCTCCAGGAGCTTCGCCTCCAGCCCCGTTCCCTGGTTATCGGAGGGTGCCTGGTGTGGGTCACCCTTTGCAAGTCCAGGCACATCCGGCAAGGCAGTAACATCTGGCACTGCCTTATCCCAGAATCACAGTCATTTGGATTAGAAAAGCCCTTTAAGATCATTAAGTCCAACCATTCCCCCACACTGCCAAGGCCACCAACTAACCCATGTTCCCAAGTGTCACATCCACGTGGCTTTTAAATCCTTCCAGGGATGGGGACTCCACCACTGTCCTGGGCAGTCTGTGCCGGGGCCAGACAGCCCTCTCCATGAAGAAATTTTCCCAGTATCCAACCTAAACTTCCCCTAGTGCAACCTGAGGCTGTTTGCTGTCATCCTTCCCTTGTTCCCTGAGAGCAGAGCCTGACCCCCATCTGGCTCCCCCCTCCTGTCAGGGAGTTGGAGAGAGCGAGAAGGTCCCCCCTGAGCCACCTTTTCTCCAGGATGAGCCCTCCCAGCTCCCACAGCTGCTCCTGGTGCTCCAGACCCTTCCCCAGATCCATTCCGTTCTCTGGACACATTCAGCCCCTCAATGTCTGTCTTATGATGAGGGGCCCAAAATTAACTCCAGGATTATAGGTGTAGTGCCCAGTACAGCGGGAATACACCACCAGCTCAGTGATAGCCAGTGGTGTCGCAACACCAGCTCAGCCCCAGCCCTGCCACTGTGGTGGGGAGAGAGTGGGGCTGTGGGGACCCAGATGGGACAACCACCAGCCCCATGCTCAGCACGGCTCGCCACAGGTGCTGCTGCCACGGGCCGGGTGAGTCACGGCCGCAAGGAACCGCATCAGGGTTAATCACGGCCGTGCTGCCAAACGCGGCGGCAGCTGCACCGGCGCGTTAATCACCGGGACGGTTACAGCCTTTGTGTTTCAGCCGCTGGGCAAGGACAGACCCGTCTCTCTCAAGACTGTACAGGCAGCGGGAAGCAAAGGATAAACTCCTTTCCCAACTGTTGCCAAAGGTTGCCAACCCAATGACAGCAGTGCCGGCATTGCTGTGGTTCAAGGGAACGGCACCTACTTCCATGGAACCCAGCAAACTGTGACCAGCTGTGTCAGCTGTCACACAGGACATTCACACCACCCCGGTGTGGAAGCACCTGCCTGCGGTGCAGGCCTGGGCAGCCTGGTGCCACAGGGCTGTGCTGAGGGCATTGGAGCAAGAACCAGCCTGAGGGTTTCCTGGGAAGTGGGAGTGGCCATGGGAATGAACCTGGTAGAGCCCTGAGGGAGCACCGGTGGGTCCCCATGGCCCTGCTCCTCTGCCAACCTCAGTTGAATAGACCACTCAGTGGATGTCAGACCAAGGTGCCAGAGCTGTGCCCACACCGTGCTGGAACTGCAGCCCCAGCTGGTGGCACAGACCTGGCATGGAGACAGTGACCAGCTTCAGAGAGTAAGAATAACTGGGAGACAAAGCCTGGAGCTTCAGGAATTTGACAAAGAGCCCACACATGGCTCCAGGCTCAACCAAACAGCACAGAGCCACAGTATGGGAGGGCAGGAGACACCAAGCCCTTAGCCCGGCCACAGCTCTGCTGTTCTTCCTTCCCTCTCAGTGCCCCCAGCACAAAACCTTCCCTGACGAAGTACTGGCACTCATCCCAGCGGGCATCGCTCACCTTGGATGGCTGAGAGGTAGACAAAGGCGTCCTCGTGCTGCACATTCTCCAGGAACACCTGCAATGAAGGGGAAGTGCAATCAGCAGTGACTTTGGGCTGGGCCGGCAAGGCCAGAGGGCTCCAGTAATCGGGACCATCTCCAGCCCAACGGCATGGTCAGCACAAGCTCTGCACTGCAGCACAGGACAGGGACCATGGCAGGGGACAGGGACCCAGCAAGTGACAGGGACCATGGCAGGAGCCCAGTACCTGCAGCAACTTCTCCTGAAGCCGAAGTGCCTCTGGATCCCGCTGGGTGACCAGGCTGGCGAGGTGGCGCAGGGCAGCAGCGCGGGCGGGGGGCTGGGGGTCGTAGGCTGACACCAGCAGCTCCTGGAGCCCAGCTGGGGCCGGGCTCTTGGCACACGGGGCTGGAGTGGGATCGGTGGCACTGGGCTCGTGGCCTGTGCTCTGCTCTGTGCTCTTCTCTCCACGAGCTGAGGGGCTGCTGTGTCTGTGCTGCAGCGGGGCCTGGCTGCCCCCTGGGCTGGGGGCTCCACTGGGAACGCCAGCAGGGCTTTGCACTCCCATCCCAGGCTTCCTCCCCAGCACACTGTCAGCAGCGGCGCCCACTGTGCCGGGGGCACAGGCCCCGTGGGTGCAGATGGCGATGCGCAGGTCCAAGGCCAACTCCTGGGTGAGGGGCTCGGGGTAGGTGTGGGACAGCTCCTCCAGCAGTGGCACCAGCCGCTTCAGCACAGAGAAGTCGCTGGATTGGAGCTGTGGAGAGAGAAAAGCAGCACTGGTATCACCACAGTGAGGATTCATCCACTCCCTGGGATGCTCCAGGTAGGGCAGGAGAGCATGGGGATGATGAGCCCCAGAGTCTGTTTTGTAGCCCCATGGCCACTCCCATCCCCATCCCTGGTTCTGGGCTTCAAGCACCACAAGCTCCTCTGAACAGCAGTGCCCATGGCCCAGCACCTATCCCATCTCCGGCATCTCCAGCAGGTGCCACACGAGAAGGTGAGAAGGGCATGAGCCTGGAGGACAGCCCTGTCTGTGCATGGAGGCCAAAACAGGGACATCCCTCCCATCATCTTCCCAGCACCGTGTCAGGCTTGCCATCAGTCCTGCCTGGAAGGACATTCTTGGCATGGCAGCTGCCACCTGTTCTGAGCAGGAGAAGCTCCTCCCCTAACCTGGATGTAACTGCTAAATTCTGGGCTGTGAGGCCTGAAAAGGGTGCTTTAGCTTGAGTGGAGAGTTTGGATGATTGCATAAAAACTCCTTGGCTGCTGAAACCCAAACAGCTCTGCAGCTGCTTCCAAAACCTTTCACATTCCATTTCCCAAGTTACGTCGCTCCCATTAACACCAGAATGGGAGCAGGCGCTTGTCTGGGAGGGGCCCATTGCAGCCACAAGACTCTGGCTTTAACTTCTCTCCAAGTAAAGTTCTTTTCCCAGTGTTAGAAATTTAGCAATAAGACACAATAAATGAATGGAAAAAACATTAACAGCTGGATCTTCCTTTGGGTAAATCCGGGGATGAAGCAACTCCAGCAGCTCAGTGATGGCAGCGCATTAATGGATGGGCCATTGCTCCCATGGCAGCTCTCTCTCTCTCTCTATATATATATTGGTATAATGTGGTAATTGAGTGATGTAAATAATAATATAAATATGTAAAAAATGTAAATATAAAAGTACAGAGGACTTTCAAGAAGGGTACAGCCCACATGGGACATTTGTTGCACTCCACAGCTGGAGCTCATGGTGTGTAGGGATGCAGAGGAGGCAGTCTTGGTATTTAAAGATGCTGTACATGGCTGCACTGCTCTGTCATCACCTTCTTGGAAGCAAACTTTGGATTATGAATTAATATATTCATTTATAATATATAAAATTTTAGTATGTATAATTTATACTATATATTAATATAGTATACATATATAAATAAATGAAATTAATTTCAGGGATGTCTTGCTGGGATTGAACCCTTGGCCAGCGCCCCCACACTGCTCCAAGGAAAAACAATATATATGTTATACATACATACATATATACATATATATATGTATGTATATACACACACATATACAGGCTGGGACCCCAGCAGGGACCCCAACCCAAGGCACCCAGCTCCCCTGCCCACAGCCCCCCTGGCGCTGGTCTGCAGGGCCCTATATACCGCTGTCCCCAAGCCCCCCAGGCCTTTGCCCCTTACCTAGAGACAGCCCTCCAAGCAGGCAAGCCACAGCCCCATGGCACATTAAGAAGGTGTCTGCTGCTCGGCCGCCGCGCCGGGGCCCCGCGCTGGGCTGACACAGGCCCGCTGCAGCACGGCTGCCACGAACTCCTGCACCTGCCAGGGGAACAACAGTCAGGAGGAGGGACCCCCAGGGTGACCCCACCTCCTCTTTAGCCTTCCATTTGAATTTCCCAAGCCTATGCCATTCTCTAACACAAGTCTGCACAAATTCAAGAAGAGTTTGGTCAATGCTCTCAGGCACATGGTGAGATTGTTGGGGTGTCCTGTGCAGGGCTGGGAGTGGGACTCAATGACCCTTGTGGGTCCCTTCCAACTCAGGATATTCTGTGGTTCTGTGAAACTTCGCTTGCCACCCCCCTGACCTTCCCTCTCAGACCATCCCAGTTGCCTTCCCACTACTTCCCCTTGCCATCTCACCTGAGCAGGTGAGGGGACTCAGCAGTGTTGGGAGCCCTGGAGAGCTGGGGGATGGATGGGGATGCACTGGGGATGCAGGAGGGAGTCAGGGCTCTCAAGGTAGCTGTGGGGGTGCTGGAGCCTCCGAACCCCACCCACCCCTCCAGTAGCAGCACAGATGGGCTCCCTGGGATCACAGCCCCCAGCCCCATGCCAGGCTGTGTGAATCCGTGGGTGAGGATTTTGGGAGCATGGATGGAGAGTGGCTGAGCCACACAGCCCAGTTCACCAGTGGCTGCAGCTGCCAGGCTCTGGCGTGGACTTGGCAGTCACACCCAAAACAGCCATAGGAAAAGGTGATGGTTAAACTGGTAGGGGTTTCTTGGCAGCAGAAGCCCTCATGAGGCTGCAGGAGCAGGAAGAACCCAGCTCCATCTCTGCCTCCTGCCCAGCTCCACCATGGGATGGGAGCTGGGAAGGCAACTGGGATAGTCTGTGAGGGAAAGTCAGGGTGGTGGCAACAAGGCTCTGTATGGAATTGGGCTAGAGAAAAGCTTGGGAAGTTCCAGAGCCCAGGAGCTCCAGTCCCAGCCCCACGGCTCCCCAGTGCCAAGTCCCCTTACTCCCACACAGCCGATATTCCAGCTGGGCTATTTCCCATGTTCTCTTATTTTCTTATTTTTCCCACAATATTTTTATTCCACAAGCCTATAACGATCCTGCCTGGCTGGCATCGGCCTTCTTGGCACTGACACTTGTGATCCCACGGGCTTTCTGCCTTCCTAACAGACCTTGAAAATTAGGGAGTTGATGTTCTCCGTGCCTTATTTTCTCCACACCATGGCTTGGGACAAGCCTGGGAAAGGGCTGGATCAGGGTCATTCCAACCTAACAGGTGTGTTGCAAAAGAACTATTGTACTCCTATTCTGGAAAACAAAGTAGGAGGGCAACAAGGTCCTACTGCACCAAATCCCAAACTTCTAGCCCCCAGGACACAGGCACTGGGTGCAGCCATCGTTTCCTCCTCAGTTGCCAGCTTCTTTGAGCACATCCCTTAAGGAGGGAGGCTGTGGGAAAAGGCTTTGGAAAAGACTGCAAAAAAGGCTCAGGTACCTGCTGGAATAATCATGTCAGAGCAGAAATTTCAGCAAACAGCAAGAAAGTAAAAAAAGTTGGAATATCTGCTCTCACAACACAGCGACACACGAGCTGAAGAGGTTGAAATTATATTTAATGTAAAGAAAAGGAACATTGTGAGTAAACAATCAGTAGATGGCTGCCGAGAAAATAAAGTAAAAAGAACTACTCTAGAAAGAAAAAAAACCCTCACTTTAATGTGGGAGAGGAAAAAACCTTGAAAAATAAACCCCTGGGGCACGGTTGTTTCTCAGGCAGGAGGAAAGAATCCTTGGTGCAGAAAGGAAATCAAGTTGACCTTGGTTATGTGGCAAAATATGTAAATAAATGTGCAGCTGAGGGGGGCCACAGCGGCCACTGTTCCTGGGCTCCAGCCTTGGAAAGATGGATCCCACTTGTTCCTACCCCATTAGGGCCCCCCAAACGCCCCAAGGAACCTGCTCAAAGGCTGCACTGCCACTGCCTGTCTCAGCCCAGGGGCCTCCCTGAAACACAACTCCGGGCAGGAGGATAATGGATTTTTTGTCTGGATTTCCTTGGTGGTGGGTTTTTATACCAGACTCAGGCTGGACCTTGAAACCTGGCAAAACCCTTCCCTGTTTCCCACCCTGACTCTCCAGCCCTGCAGGTGGGTGTGATGGGGAGGCAGGTGGGGACAAAGCAGTGCTGGCTGTGTCCCCCCCACTGCTGCAGAGCACACAAAGGATCCTTTGTCCCAGAGGGAAACGTGAGGAAACCTGCCTCAGCAGTGACCGCCTCTGCCCACGGCAGGCACAGAGAGCTGGCACAGCCGGGGCGCTGGGGTAAAAAACAGCAATAAAGAACAGGATGTGGAAGTTTAAAGACTGCAGGGGAATACCATGCTGCCCTCAGTGTCCACCTGCATTCCTGACTGGAACAGTGGGGGACAGCCAACCCCACCCAGCGTGTGCTCAGGGGTAGATGTGCCATGTTTTAAAAATGTTTTTTGGGACCATGGTCAAGGAGCCCCAGTGGCTTTTGAAATTACAACATTTAATAAATTTTGCACTGCCCATTCACTGACATAGGAGCACAGTTAGACCAACCAAGTTGCTCCAAGCCCTGACCAACCTGGCCTGGAACACTTCCACAGGCATAGCTCTTCTGGGCAACCTGTGCCAGGGCCTCACCATCCCCACAGCCAAGAATGCCTTCCCAATATCCCATCTAACCCTGCCCTCTGGCAGTGGGAAGCCATTCCCTCTTGTTCTGTCACTCCAGACCCTTGTCCAAAGTCTCCCTCCAGCTCTCTTGGAACTCCTTTAGGCACTGGAAATGGCTCCAAGGTCACCCCAGACCCTTCTCTTCCCCATGTTGAACAATCCCAACTCTCTCAGCCTTTCCTCCTGGAAGTGTTCAGCCAATCCCCCTGGGCTTTGCCATGACCAACCTGCACAATGTCAGTGAACACGGTGTCCGAGACGCTCTCACACAGCGCAGCCACGAGCTGCAGGACCAGCAGCTTCCTCTCCTGCCTGGTCTGATCCTGCTCCAGCTCCAGCAAACTCCCTCCAGGCTCCACAGTCAGGTTTGGAGCCACCTCGTCCTCTGCAGCCACCTGAGTCAGCTCCTGCCAGGAAGGAAGCACAGGGCACGGAGATGCAGTGGTTAAACGTTGGTAACCAGTGCCAGGAATGCCAGTTGACTCCTCACACACCAGGACCTTCCAGCTGAAGGTCTCTGACAGCTGCCACAGCTCCTGGGAGTCCCATCACTATCCCCTTGTGTGACTATGCGCTGGAGGGGGGACACGAAAAGCCCAGCCCAGCCCAGGCCAGGAGGGAACTGCAGGGGCTCCAAGCAGGATGAAAGGAAGCAGGTGCTGGGGCCCCTCCATAAAAGCCAGGGAAGCAACAGGGATTATTCTCAGCTTCCAACACACCATTAAACTTCAAACATGCTCATGCTGTTAAAAAAGCCCAGAGGGGATAAGGGTTAACCCCTTCAGGGACAGGGCTGCTCCCTCTCCTCGGCTCTCCCACCCAGCACACAGGGCTGCTCCAGCACGTGCCGTATCCCGGGACACACAGGGGGATGATTCCTTTCCAAGGAACCCATTCCTGCAGGTGTGCCCCAACCAGGGACAGGCCTGCCCTCACCTTCAGGCAGTGGATGAAGAAGTCTCCGGTCAGCCCACTCTTCTGGCAGTGGGACAGAAGCTCCACCAAGCTCTGCACATGGCACTGCTCTGAGGAGATCTTCTGGTACAGGGCCTCATCTTCATCACTGGAACAGGTCACTGAGTCACTTACACAAACAAATCCAGACCCCCTTGACTCCCCAGATCCAGGGCAAAGTGAAGTCCCAGCCTGCCTTTTCCTGGAAGCCTTCCTTCCCAGTGTTTTCCAGCAGAGCCTGGAGGCAGCTGAGCCAAACACTGCCCAGGTAATTTGTGATCATTTGCTCCTTTCATTATCAAAACTACACTACTGACAGAAACCATGAGCCCAAACCCTGCCATCCCATAAATAACAGGATTAGTGCTGGCTAAGTCATGTAATGGTCAGAGCCATGGAAGCAGGGACAGGAACATGGGCAGAGCCAGGGCTATTATGGAGTAAGTTTAAAGTATTCCCAGTTTAACCAGGGCAGAGCTGCTTCTAATTGTGGTCTTCCAGTACCTAAAGAGTTTATAGAAAAGCAGGAGAGGGATTTTGGACAAGGGCCTGGAGTGACAGGACAAGGAGGAATGGCTTCCCACTGCCAGAAGGCAGGGTTAGATGGCATACTGGGAAGAAATTCTTCCCTGTGAGGGTGGTGAGGCCCTGGCACAGGTTGCCCAGAGAAGCTGTGGCTGCCCCATCCCTGGAATTGTCCAAGGCCAGGTTAGACAGGGCTTGGGAGCAACCTGGTCTAATGGAAGGTGTCCCTGCCCATGGCAGGAGGTGGAATGATCCCTTCACACCCAAACAAGTCTGTGATTCTAACTCAGGTCAGGAATAGATTAAAACAAAAGCCAAACCAAGCATATTTGTGGAGATTTTACTGTAGGTGCTCCCAGCTCCTGGCACACCCTCCCCACAGACACCCCTGGACACAGCCATGTTTCTGCCTATCCCACAGCACTGCCCTGGGCCCTCCCTGCCAGCTCACAGCCCTCGCTTTAAACCGAATCTCCGGCTGCCGGATATCGGATATCCCGCTCTGCGTGGCTGGAGACTAATGGCTGCAGTTTATTCCCAGCATGGCCATGCTCTGCCTCTACTTAGAGACCATCTGCACACACCAGAGGAGCTCAGTCACTGCTCCACCACGCTGGCATTGCCAGAGTCCTTGCTGTGACAGTACCACCTGTGCCCGAGGGACTCCACTCACTGTGCCACGAGACAGGCTCAGGCTGGACAGTGGAAGTTGAATTTGCAGGGTGTTGGGGCTGAAAAAGCACATCCCATTCCCAGACAGTCCGCAGGCAGGGTTTGGAGTCAGGAAAAGCAGGCAGGGAGTGCACACAAACACTCAGGTGGAACATGATGCTTTTTGGGGCTGGAAGTCAGAGCTCTGTGTGGCATGCAGAAAACCTGGAGGCTGCATGGGCTGTGAGGAAGCATCACCTGCTTGAGCTTAAGGGGATGAGACCATGGTGGGATGGTCCTGGCAGACCCCCACTCACCCAGGCTCTCTGACAGGCTTCCCCGGACAGCCCTGGGTGCTGAGTGACTCTGGGGACTGTGCCCACAGCACTCACCTGATGGTGTCCTCCACTGCGATGGCAGCACCGCCCTCGCTGCCTGCACAGACCCGGCACCACGGGTGGAGGGTGGGCACGGTGCTGCCCAGCCCGGCCAGGCCTTCCAGCACAGCCAGCGACCGCTCCCGCTCCGCCTTCTCCAGGAACCACAGCAGGATCTCCTGGCACAGGGAGCTGGCAAGGAGAGAGGAAGCAGTGGTGACACTGTTCTACCCACTGCTCCCCTCTCTGTGTCACACGTTTTGGGATGACAGATACGACTGGAGCACTCTGAAGCAGCCAGGGGCTCTCCTTGGAATGCTCTGGCTCCGGCAGCTGAAGGCATTTGTGACAGTTTCTAAGAGGACCAGAAGCACATCCTGCCCTCTGGCATTCCCAGATGGAAGGATTTGTGTTCCTCCGGACTTGAGCCCGGTGAGGAAGGGAGTATTGTGAACATCCCTGGCACGCCGTGCCTGTGCCTCATGGCTAGGTGACAAGGGCTGGTGGCAGTGCCAAGGGAGAGCAGGAAGGAGACAGGAGCACTGTGAGGTTGCGTGGGAGCCCTGCCAAGGAAAGATGCAGGTTAATGAGGTGGAGCGGCTGCGCCGTGCTGTGCCAGGGGTCTGGAAAGCCGAACACTTCCAGGCAGTTGCAAGTGTAGTCATCCCTGCCAAATTCCTTAGCAAAGGGAGCAGCGACTGCTGGCCCAGCAGCGTGAGTTTGGCGTGTTCCACCAACTTGCCACGGCACTTGCTGCTCTTTGAAGTGATTAACGATGTCTTCAATAGCAGCAGAGGCCGTGTCTGCACACACCTTTTAGGGAAAGCCTGCACACGCCAGGATCACCAGAGAACAGCGTAACCCCACCAGGAATGCTTTCATCAGGCTGGTCCAAACTCCTGATAGCCCAGGAAAAGCCTGGGGGGAGCAAGGAAAGAGGACAGCCAGTGCCTGGTCACCGCTGTCCCTGTCACCACGACTAGCACACATGGTGCTTTCCACTGAGCATTCTGGGGAAGTGGGCATGGCATGAGGGACAGCTGCCCAGAGGCAGGTCCTGCTTGGATTACAGGAGAGTGATGCCAGACATGAGGAGAATGATCCTGTATTTCCAAGAGCCAGTGCCTGAGCTGTTTTACCCAGTTTTTATCCTGTTTGTAGATCACTCTGACACCCAGCCAGGTCCCAGCATCACCACCTCCATCCATGGTCAACCACAATCCCTTCTCTAGGCAGAGTCAATCTGTGCTCCCAAGGGCACGTTTGTCTCTACATGGAACATTCTGGCTTCAGGGAAGACAAAAACTGAAGTGAGAACTGCTTCCTTGGGCACAGGGCTGTCAGTAAGGTCATGTACCCTGCCTGTGGTTCCTGCCCTATTGGAATGAGAGCTCCTTGGGATGAGAAAATGGATCTCTGCTCCTGTCTGTGCCCACAGTGCCTGTTGGAGGTGGGCAAAGCCCAGAAGAGCCAAGCAGAGCTGAGCACGATCCTTCCTTACCGTAAGTATGACACATTCTGCTTGGCGAAGGAATAGAGGGAAAAAACCACTCCCAGGACTGACTGTAAGGATCCCAGCAGCAGGCTCGAGCTGTCATTCCCAACCACATACACCTACAGAGAGAAGGGCACAGAAAGGGGAGTCAAACACCTGTGTGGAACAGAGGGGAGGACAGGAACACGTCTGTGCGCAGAGCGGCTGCTGGGGAGGATGGTGGAGGGTTCTCAGCCTCTTCCTTCAGTCTGGAGCCTGTTTTCCCTGATTATGCCATATTCCTTATCAAAACCTGGCTTCAGCACCATTTTTCTCCAAGTATTTCCTTAACCACAGCAGGCTCCAAGCTACAGGAAGGCTGCAGCCAGATATTTGGGAAGTCTACTGCTTAAAGGTAGGATCCTGCCTTCCCCAGAGATGCAACAGGCACCTTGGAATGAGCAAATCTTTATGGAATTATGGCAAATCTCAAACACAGAGATCAGTCCCTAGCAGGGCAGCTGGGCTGATGGGTGCTGAGCTGAGACACCAAGCTGCTGGGGCTCTGGGGGAGTTGTAGGGGCTCTTCGGGGGGCTGAAGGAGCTCTGGGGGAGCTGCAGGGCCCTGCTCCTCTCCTCCACCTCAACGAGCAGCCTCCCAGATCACTGTCAATGCCCTCTATGAACCCAGCACACCCTTCTCAGGCTCACTGCATACAAGTCCCACCTTGCTGCCCATAGAGCACAGGAAAAACACTTACAGAAGCCTCATGGCATTCACAGAAGCCTCATGTAATTGTGTTTCCTTTTGTATCCTTTTAAAGGAATTATCCAAAACTAAAAGCCAGGTATGATGCTTTTAGTCAGAGCCATAAGCTGGGAAAATTTGGTCTAGAAAGTGGTTAAACACCAAATCCTGCCAGCTGGACTCAGGATTTTCTCAGTGTTTGGTACTCAGGTCCTGGTTTTGGCAGGCTCTATTTCCCTCCACAGTTTTTAGCTTAAAAAAAAAGGGGAGGGCAGGGTAATAAAGTCTTTTCCCAAGTTTTCCAAGGGACTTCCAGCTGTCTCATGTGGTCAATGACCTGTTCAGAAAGTGCCGTCCCTCTACAGCAGAGCGAGTCCCCACTCCCCACACCTCTGATCTCCTGTTCCCCACACTTCCAACCTCTCACTCCCCACATCTCTGATCTTCTGCTTCGCACACCTCTGACCTGCTCCCCACACCTCCAACCTCCTCTCAACACCCTTGACCTCCTGTTCCCCACAGTTCTGACTTCCCACAACCCACACCTGGACCTTTGACCTTCCTTCACAATCCCCATTCCAGGGCTGGAAATGCCCTGGAGACAGACCTGCCTGAGGCAGTGTGACAGCCCAGGTAGGAGGGAGATGGCCCTGATAACACCCTGCCCTGCTCCATTGATGCAAACAGACCTGTTTCCCTGTGCTAATCCCCATGGAGCCATTCCTCCTCCCCAGACCCTTGTGTACACAAAGCCTCCCTGATGAAGCCCCAAGGATAGTTTCTCACTCAGCATCAAATGACACTTGTTAGACAAGAAACCTCCCCAAATCCAGGGTCCCCTCACTAATCTGGCTGTTGTCAGGCCTCCAGCACTCTGCCATCAAGGAGGGACCCACCCCAACCCCCCCAGCACGGCACTGGGAGGGAGCAGCCCTCCAGACCAGTCTCTGCCTGCCAGCCAGTTACAACAGATCATTACTGGGAAAACAGACAACAATTCCAGCATTTAAGAGCTTAGGCTGCCTCAGGGCATGCCAGGAACCAAGTCACCAGCTTCTGAAATTTGAATTCCAGGGTTGGAGATGTCCTTCTGGGTTGGAACATGCAGCAGGAAGCTGCTGTCAGGGCAGGCAGGGGAGCCTGCAGTGTGGCAATGGGGATACTGGTGGGAATGGTAGGAAATGGCGCTATGAAGGAAGGTGTCAGAGGAGAAGCCTCCACAAAAAACCCTGATCCTTCATAGGGAACACAAGGATGGACCCCATCTCTCCCCCAAACATGAAAGCCAAGATCTGTGCTCCAGTGAGAACTTAAAAGACCCTTCCAGTGCCTAAGGGGCTCCAAGACAGCTGGAGCAGGAATTTAGACAAGGGCCTGGAGCGAGAGGACAAGGGTGAATGGTTTCTCCCTGCCACAAGGCAGGGTGGTTAGATGGGATATTGGGAAGGAATTCTTCCCTGTGATGGTGATGAGGCCCTGGCACAGCCCACATGGAGACCAAAGGTACTCCTGAAGATAAGGATGAGGTGAGTCTGGCATGACTGCAGGAGATGCCGGGTCTGTCTGATCTAACACACACTGAACTGCTCACAAAGTCTCAAACCAGCTCTTTCTCAGAGTTTTCTCCCCCAGATCAGACATGGTACCTTGAGCACATCTTCCACGCAGCTACCCAGCTCTGCCTCTGGCACCAGCATGGTCCCTGCTGCCAAATCCTCCACTGCCAGCTCTGGAAGCAAAGGGCAGAGACATCAGCACCCTAAAGCACCCCAGAGCGCCCAGCAGCAGAGCAGCCCTGCCATACCCTGCACCCGAAAACACTTCCATGGCTCCCTTCCCTTCTCTCCCCTCCCCATGGGAACAGAGGAGCCCTCGTTAGCTGTCCCAGTTGTGCTGCAAACCCCTAAGGACACATGGAAATCAAGGCAGACCACAATTCACAATGATGAATGATTCCCTGGAGAGCTGCTGGTTGGGTTGGGAACCTATGGCTTCCGTCTGGAAGCCCAAACCAAGGGTGTCAGACTGGGAGAGCTTCCCAAGGAGCCCATGGCAGGAGCCACAGCACTCGGCTCCCACGCTGGAGTAACTTGGCTCAAGTGGCAGTAAATATGATGTAACCACACAGACAGACGTGGCCAGCACGGACAGCTGAGCTCACATGGTCTGTAGCCCAAAGAAATTCCGATGGAATGACAAAAATCAGTGAGGAAAGAAACCAGACCGTTCCCGGATGTGGTACCTGCTGCCTCAGAGCACCGCAGGAGCGGGGACAGCAGTGGTTGGAGCACGTGCCTCTCTGCCAGCTGTGGGTGCTCCCTGGCCATGGTGAGCACCGTGGTGGTGGCCACACGCTGGAACTGCCGTGCTGCCACTTTGTCCTGGATGTGCAGCAAGTCCAGAATCTGCAAGGAAAGTCCATGACAAAGGAAAAAGGATCAGCACGCCCTCAGAGGGGGCAGCCTGGCTCCTGGCAGAGAACAAGGACCTGTCCATGTGCTCCTTTGCTGGTCATCTGGCATGATATTCCAAGTATGGAAGAGCCAGTGTCCTTTCCACACACACAGAATGCTTTTCTGGGCTCAAACCAAGAGCCTGCACCACTCCCAGAGCCAAAGGTTGGAAACAAGAGCTCCACATAGAGCTCTGTGTAGTGCAGTGTCGAGCAGCTCATACAATCAACATCATCTAGCATTTCAATAAAACATGGAAAATTCAAGAGTGGAAACGTGACCCATTGCCAGAAAAACATCTCCACGTTATGCTGGCTCAAGCCAGGCCACGCTCAAGCAGAAAGGGCAGTCCCAATACCCTCCAAGCTGGAGTTGGCTCTGCATTCCCAGGCGGAAGGGACGAGGGACTTACCTGGGGGCACACCTGTCTGTAGTAGTCCTCAAGGGAGAGGCACTGCTGTGGGCAGGAAGCCAGGATCTTTGCAACTGCGTCACATTTCCTCCAGTCTAGAGCTGCTGCTTCAGCGCCAGCACCACCTGCAGCAGCAGAAACTCTGGATCAACTCTGACCAGCGGCCAGCTCTGTTTGAAGCTAGGTGTTTCTGGCCAAAAACTGGATTTTGAGCTTTTATTGCTGTCATTAAACCAACCATCTTTCAGGAGACACCTGAACTTAAAGACAGAAGGGGGAAAATTCCTGTGCAAGAGCTTTGATAATGGAAAACAACTCCTACGGACAGGTGGACAAAAGGTGGAGGGAGGTCATGCTTGGAAGTGCCATCAGGTGGGTGTTGGCTAGAGGAGGCTTTGGCACTAATATCTGTGGGATTCATTTTTGGATAGCAACAGTTTCCCTCCCTGCCAGGACACGGAAAGCAGGGGATGGGTCTCATTGTCCCTGCAGCTCTCACAGCCCAGAGTCCAGCATGGCTCCCACTGCACTGGCACTGGGACAGGGCACTCCTTGGGACAGACCACACTCTGGACACACATGAGGTGTGATACCACGGAGGCATAAACAGCTAAATGGTGTTGGAGGTTTTCAGTGTAGGCCTCAAAAATGACAGTGTACCCTAAATTAGGGCAGTCTGGGAGCTCACCACAGTCAGAGGCAAAATCTGTGTGTCACTGAGTCATCTTGGCCTGGCAAAAGCTGATTGCCACGTCCGTACTCTGGTGGCTCTGGGCCTCTTGTGGGATGAACCATTCCAGACACCTCTGAATCTGTGATCCTGGAGGCCCAGAGCCCCCACTCACCTCCTGTGCCCTCCAAGACACCTCGAACCACGGCCTGCACCCCGTTGGGCCTCAGCAGCCTCTCAGAGAGCAGGCGCCCACAGAGCCACCGCAGCCAGGCTGGAGCTGGCCCCAGGCCTGCCCGGGGACATGGAGCACTCTGGAAAGGAACACAGGAGCAGGGTAAGGAGTGTATTTGCACACTCTTGTGCAAATCCCATGGATGGGCAAACAGCCTGTGTCCTGCCAGAGAGCACAGGACACGGACAGGCTTTGAACTGCTGCTTCAGCCAGTGGCACAAAGCAAATTAGGAATTAATGACAGGCCAGCTGGAAGGGACCTACAAGTACCATCAAACCAGCATTCCTTAACTTTTGGTCAGTCCTCAAGTGCTCAGCATGTTATTCCATCCCTGGCAGTGTTCAAGGCCAGGTGGGATGGGGCTTGGAGCAACCTGGTCTAGGGGAAGGTGTCTAGTTGAAATGGGATAAGCTTTAAGGTCCCTTCCAACCCAAACCATTCCAGGATTCTATCATTATCCCTTAGAGACTTTCCAAAAACAACTCTCAGGAGATTTCCCATCTCCTCCTCCTCACAAGGCTTTGGAATGGCCCCAAACAGCAGCGAGTGCCCTGTGTCATCCATGAGTGGGAAGGGGCAGGTTCTGGAGGAGCAGGAGCTCCACTTGGCTGGGCACAGTGGATATGGGTGCAAAGCCAAGGTGGAACGTGCCGTGATGACAGTCCCTGGGTTCACACCCACCTACGCACCCCTGCATGGCACACACCTGGCAGCTTCATCAGTGCTCCAGGACTGTTTCTAAAGTGTAAGAACATTTCCAGGAGAGCAGCACCCTCGGACTGTGGGAACACAGGTACTACACACCCTGATGGCCCTCAACCGCTGGGTACCTGCTTGGGCGGACCTTGCAGGACGAGCAGCTCCTGCACTGCCAGTGGCTGGTAAACACGGTCCAGGATGTCCTGCAGGGCTTCCCGGCACCGCGCCCGCTCCGCTTCCGAAACACCCTGCAACAAAACACTCTGGGGTGGTGAGGGCAGCCTGGTTGGGCACTAAACCCACCGGTTGATCCGGTGCCCTCTAGCCCCTTCTGGGGCTCCATAGCCCCTGTAGCTTCTTTCACGTGGGGAATTACGGGCAAGACATGGGAGGGAGCGCTGGGCAACCAGCCCGGGACTCGGCCCCGGGGAACGGGCTGGGGCTCGGCTGGGCACCCACGCCAGCCCCGGGAGAGCGGGGACACGAGGGGGCGAGTGTCGCACGGACCTGGCAGAGG